CCATGGACTTGACAATGTCAATAACATCTTCATTGTTCAGTAAGTTAAAACTCTCAAATTTCGAAAGCTGTAGAGCAGGAGAAGTAGGAAGCCCAACACTGGGCGATGACTCACTTGGTATGATTTTGTTACGCAGACGTTTAACCTTCTGAATAAAGAATGCATTGAAATCATTGGCCAGCTGAAGGTGGCTCTCAGCAGTTGGAAAAAGATCAGCATCGCAGTTACCAAGAAGCTTTCTAGCAATCTTAAACCGGCGTTTTTGATCGTGACCACAGATATCTACTTGGGCCTGAATGGAGGCGGTGCGTTCTTCAACCAGTACACGATGATACTCAATGCACTTTTTCTGGTAAGCAAGAAGACTTGCGTGTGTTTTAGACTTTCGCCATTTACGTTCTGCTCTTCGCTTATTCCTTTAACATTGCATTGCTATTTCATCATTTTTCTTCTCTTTTAAAGAATAAGTTGCAATATGACCATGACCAAATTGTGGCCGTAATGTAAATTTTAGTCTGTAGTATTAATAATTATTATTATAACTAAGACCATTCAACAAACAAAATAAAATACATACATATCAAACTTACAAATGTTTACTTAGACTTTCCAATTAAGCCGATGCTTGGAATTTAGATATAATACCTATGCTAAATTTACATATAAAATATGTAGCTTTATTTAAATAAGTACACTTTCTTATAATTTAAGGAAACAGAAATTTGTAAATCGGCCTGAAGAAGTGTGTTTAGAAGTTGGGTATTCATTTTTTGTTTATTTAATTGAAAAGCGGGTATTCTTCATAATTTAAATGAACTAATATGTTGTAAAAACTTACTAACAGTGTTGTTGCTTGTTCTTTCTTTAGTGGTTAATGATAGTATTTAATTTAAATTTTACATGTACCATACCATATTTTAGGGGAAATACAACATTTACTAAATCAGATCAGAACATTTTGTAAATATTTTATGAGAGTGAATGCGATAATGTTGCTTAAACAAAAACCCTTAAGAAACTTTCTATTTTGTTTTGTTTTAAGTTATTTAAACCTCTAAAGTCCTGGTGAAATTCACTTTAATTTGTTATTTTTCATTAGTCCTTAAGTAAAGAATAATGCATGTATTCTGCTGGCAAAACTGGATATAATGCCTAACAACATCAGATTTTTCATGCTTCATTGGCTTTTGTTTTAATTTGGAAAAGCGCATTACAGTATGTCTATTTTGACTGGGTTATAGGAAAAAAAATATAAAAAAAGTACATCAGTATGTTTTTCTGTTGTGTAGTTAGTACATTCATACAAAAAATTCAATATAATTCATTTCCATAACAAAAGGCTAACAAGAAACGCGTTTTGCTCAATATCTTAAAACTATGATTTTGGCTTATAATGCGTTCTTCCGAATCACGGCAGTGTACTTGTAAAGAGTAATTTAAGTAGTAGACACATCCTCACTTGGAGTCTATTTTTGATTGAGTTTATGTTTATATTTATTTTAACGGTTAATTTCTTTTTATTTTAACTACCTATGCATGATTCTAACTGTATATCACAGTGGTCTATCTTGGAGGTGCAAAGGGGATGCACACTCCTTCAAAAAAGCTTGCACCCATCCAGTTTTCCCCCCCCCCCCCCCCAACCCACCATTG